ACACACACACACACACACACACACACACACACACACACACACCAGCTGCCAACTGACAGACAAGGAGCCTCCCTAGAGAAGAAGAGACAGAAGTAGGCAGCTGGCTGTGAAACAGACACAAGCAAAGCCTCCCAGACATCAGCCTAGTGCCCAAGGGAGGGATTTTTGGAACTGTGCTATCCCATGATGAGTTTCCATCTGAGTGGTGAGCTTTGGTGAGTCCCATATCCCAGCAAAGTCACCAAAGGAGCCCAGCAAAAGCCACAGAAGACAAAGTGACAATCAGGGAACAGACAGGAAGAGACACCAGACCCCTCAGCTCTACCCTTTGATGACACTGGATGGTTTTCTCCTTGGAGGTCCCCCTGGGTGTCCATCACTGGACTAAACTGGGCTGATCATGGGCTACAAAAGCCATCAAGTCCCGGTCTCCATCTATGATGTGCTAAGAGGCAAGCAGAAGCTAGAGACATATGTGAAAGACAGCCCGGGCAACTGAAACTGGAGCCAAGAATGTGGTTCAGTGAGGCTGGGAAGGTTTGTGAGATAGGGAATTTGCAGCAGGGCTTGCTTGCATGAAGATCTCCCATCAGTCACATACCCACAAGGCACTGGGCCATCAGTCACATACCCACAAGGCACTGGGCCATCAGTCACATACCCACAAGGCACTGGGCCATCAGTCACATACCCACAAGGCACTGGGCCATCAGTCACATACCCACAAGGTACTGGGCCATCAGTCATATACCCACAGGGCACTGAGCCATCAGTCACATACCCACAAGGCACTGGGCCAGGGCCCAGAAGCCATCACTTTAGTGTGACCATTCCCAATAAGGGCCTACAGTTCTTCCAGCCATAAGCTCCCCCCCTCCCCCATGGGACCTGAGGTTAAATGGCACTTTAGAAAAGTTTGTCACCCCTGAATCCTCAAGCCTGCCAGCCACAGCTTTCTGGCCCATAGTATGATCACATGACTCCCTAGTGAAGCCTTTCCCTGCCCTCTTGTCATGTGTGACTCACACCAAACGTCCAGCCCAACTCACCATAATGATGTCATCTTTACTCCCACTTACTCCTCAGCAAACCCTCTCTTTTCTTCTTCTGATCCATCGTCTTCGGGAAGGATCTCTGGGGTGAAGCATCCGGGACCGCCTACAGAGAGGCAAATTGAGACTCCACCCGGACAGGAACTCCTCTAGGTCAGAGACTAGATTCAGTTAGAACTCAGCTGAGATTTCAGGGGGACCGATCTCTGCTCGAGGGTCCCTTTTATCTCTAAAGGCAGGGTTCCAGAAATCCCGGGCTTGGCTTCCAAGACTCTAAAGCACCAGGGCAGCAGGAGGTCCAGGCCCTCTGTGGTGCATTGACTATGAAACGTCTCCCATAAAGTTATGTTTTGAAAACTTCCATTTTGTAGGGCTGTTTCGGAAGGTTGTGGACCCTTTGACAAGTGGAGCCTTGCTGAAGGAAGGAAGTAGCTGAGTCTTCAGGTTTAAAAGCCTTAACACCCTCCCAACCCCCCAACCCCACTTCCGGGTTACTGAGTGCTTCCTGACTTTGAGACCACGTGACCACCCCATTCCCACCAACTTCACCAGGTTCGCTATATCCATTCCCGTTCCTAAACTGTAAGACCAAACAACCCGTTCCTTCCTTAAGTTGCTTCTGGTCAGGTATTTGGTCATAGCAATGGGGAAAGTAACGAATACACCCTCCTTGCCAACCTTTGGTCCTTCCTCGGGGAGATGCGTAGATTGAGACAAAATGGAGAATGGGATAGAAGCATTCAATGGCCAGCCAGGAAAATGATAGAGATGCTGACCCACAGAGGCCTGGAAAGGTGACCCGTGGGGGTTGGGTGACAGCCTTGATTGTTGGACCCTGGATCCAACAAAGACACATGGAGGACCAAGTCTTCAAGGCCTTGGACTTAGAGAAAATGTTGATGGAACAGTGAGTTTCTAAGTGTGGCCACTGCTCCAACAGTATCCACACCACCTGGAAATCATATTGTTAGAAATACAATATTCAGGACTGAAGAGATGGCTCAGGCAGTAAAGGGCTTCCTGCAGAAGCACAAAGACCTGGGTGTGGTCTACAGAATCCACTTTTTAAAAAAATGCTGAACTTGGTGGGGTTCATTTACAATCTTCAGGCTGGGGAGACAGAGATAGGTGGATCTCTGGAGCTTGCTGGCCACCCTACTCAGTGAACTCCAGGCTTGCCTCCAGCCTGATCTTTTGGAGGCATTTTCTGAATTGAGGTTCCCTCCTCTCAGATGACTTTAGCTCAAAAAACCCTGTCTCAAAAAACAAGGTGGATAGTGCAGGCAACACACACACGCGCACACACACACACACACACACACACACACACACACACACACAAAATACAAGGGGTTGAGGAAAGAGTGAGTGTGTAAAAGCACTTGATGCACAGCCTGAAGATCCCAGTTCATATCCCAGCACACACAAAACCTTAGCATAGCTACACACATGCCTGTAATCCCAGTCTTGTATGGGGCAGAGACAGGAGCATCACTGGGGCTTGCTTTGGCCCACAGGCTAGCTACAGGTTCCACTGAGAGACTACCTCAAGGGAATAAAACTGAGAGTGAGAAAGTAGGGCATTCAACATTCTTCTCTGGTCCTCAGAGAAGAATGGTAAGTGCTTGCTTGCCTAGCATATGGGATCTATCCCAACTGGATGTGGTGGCATACACCTGTAATCCCAGTACTCGGGATGTGGAGGCAGGAGGATCACAAGTTCAAATAAGGGACATCCTCTTCAGAATAAAAGGACAGAATACAAATCCTGTCCCCCAACCCCAGGCCAGCTGAGTAGGACACTGGCAAACCTTGGGAACCTCTTAGCGATTCTAACACATACTCAGATTTGAAAGCCATTGTCTCTGTCAGTGTTTCTATTGCTTTGATGAAACACCATGACCAAAATAACTTGGGGAGGAATGGGTTTATTTATTGGGCTTACACTTCCACATTGTAGTCATCACTGTAGAAAGTCAGGACAGGAGCTCAAACAGGTAGGAACCTGGAGGCAGCTAATGCAGAAGCCATGGAAGGGTGTTGTTTACTGGCTTGCTCTCCATGGCTTGCTCTGCCTGCTTTCTTATAGAACCGAAGACCATCAGTCCAGGAATGGTGTCACCTACACTAGGCTGGGCCCTCCCCCATCAAGCACTGATTAAGAAAATGCCTTGCAGGCTTGCCTCCAGCCTGATCTTTTGGAGGCATTTTCTGAATTGAGGTTCCCTCCTCTCAGATGACTTTAGCTTGTGTCAAGTTGACATAAAACTATCTAGAACAGCCAGCTACCTTCATAAAGCTGAGCATTTTGGAGATCTTAGACCTAGTCAGCCAGCCCCTTGCTAGTCCACGTGTCTGCCTGCTTATATATGCTGAAGCTCCCTCCTGGTTACACTGGAGTTGGACTACATACACAGAATATTCCAGAAGCACCTGGAATGCATGGCATGGCCAGAGAGGTGCTGTGGAAGCAGAAGTGTGCCTACCATGCTTCCTCTGTCTATACAAATGGGATTCTGCCTCAGTTTCCCTGCATCACACTCTAGCTTATCATTATTCTTCTAACTCTGTTTTGGGCCTCCACCCACTCAACTGTGTCCTGTGGCCAAGCTATGCCTTATCCTGGACCCTTCCCAGATCCACACCCTAGCATCTGGCTGAGGTTTATGAGGAAAGCCATGGTTGTACTGCCTGGGATCTCCATTGCCATGTGTGCAAGCTGTCTACTGAATAAGGACAGCTGGGTACAGAAACAAATAGAAGAATAAAATCTAGATCACATCCCATTCGCCCATATCCTTGAGTGCCAAGAGGCATTCACTCAATGGGCACCTTTTCCTAATTTGCACATATGCATTATATGAGCTCAAGCTTGAATATCACAGCCCTTTTCCCTCGGGTTCCTTTGTCCTTAATCAGGACCTCATCCTGCTTGTCCAGTCTACACTGGCTGGACCTCTCCATTCTCTCCCATCTGACCACACAGCCTGGCCACACACTTCTTAGCCTCTTCGCTGGATTGGATGCTCCATTTTCCTCTCCATATTCCTCCCCATGAACTCTCCTGTCACATTTATGATGACCTCATACCAGTGAATATACAGCCTGGTTGATTGACGTTTGAGATCATTATATTGTAGCATTTACTAAGACATAAGTTGAGGGACATGTCTGCCAGGCTCCTGGACAAGCTTCCCTTATATGGCCTGCCTGAGGCTCCCCGGTGCCCATGAGCAGCACCCCAGGGCAGCATCTCAAAGACTCCATGACTGTGCCTATGCCTCCTTCTGCTTCCATCTTCTTGGCTCCCTTGCCTACTCCACTCGTGACTCGATCTCTCCCATCAATTCAAGTTCAGGTGTGCAACTGATTTTTCCCAGACAACCAAACATTCTCCAGAAGGCACCTAATTCTTCTATTTTAACCATTTGGGATTGGACAAAATCCTTCCAAAACATGATATATTCCCTTTCCCTTCCTAGGATAAATAGGAACAGACACAGCCTTTTCTTGTGGCCTCTAGATACCAATTATTGTTTTTTTGGAACCACAGTAAAGTGTTTTTAATAACCCAAGTAAATACACAATCATTGTAGGGGAAAAATAGAAAACAGATCAATGAGAAGAAAGGAACAGAGTCACCTGGGCTCTTACCAGCCGGGGCAACGACTAATGGCTTTTTATTGTATAACCTTTCAGAGTTTTTGCTCTTCCTCCTCCTCCTCCCTCTTCTCTTCCCCGTCCTCCTGCTCCTTCTGTCCTAATACACAGAGATGTACCCACTTTAGGACATTCAGTTTTCTTTACTTAATGATTGCTTAGACTCCCAAATGCCCATGTTAGCTGGAAGTCTCATCCATCTGTACTCTCTAGCCCTTTCCTCCCTACTGTGGTTTGAATGTGAAATGTGTCTCCCAGGTTCAGGTATGCACCCCTAGTAGTATTGTTTGGGAAGGTTGGGGTGGTTTTAGAAGCTGGGCTCTAACTGGAAGAAGTGGATCACTGTGGGGGTGGGGGTGGGGAGGCTTAGAGTTGTAGTCTGGACCAGCAGCTTGCAGATGGTGTCTCTGTTTCCTGATCCACCAAGATGTAAGCAAGAAGCCCCAGGCTCCTGCCACCACCAAAGACAGGAGCTAGCACCACAACCTTGCCTCCCACACCATCAGGGACTGTAGCCTTTCAAACTGTGAGCCAAGACAATTCCTTCCTCAAGTTGCCTCTTTCAAGTATTTTATCACAGAGATGAGAATTGTAATTTAGATGTCCCTCCCAAGGAAATCAGGGTATACTGGGTCCCAGCAGAAATTCTGATTGCAAACAGCAATCAGAGAGAAGCTGCATTAGAGCATGCCTCTCTGCATACATTTTGCTAGTCGTGAGTGAAGGACCAGTGTTCATCTTTCCCTCTCCTTCTCCATCACTGAAGCCAAAGCTTTCCACCATAGGGTGATAGATGAACAGATGCCCATCAACAGTATAGACAAAACAGAGCCAATGTCCACAATGTTTTGATAGGACAACTCCTGGGGAAAGAATGTCTGTACATAGGTCTGCCCAGGTAGTCTTGCTCGTGGCCACACATTTTCAGTATTCTGGGTCCTAGCTGGACAGGACAAGCTTCTGAGAAGTGTTGCAGCTAAGAAAGTCCTTCTCAATGATCCACAACCTGGGGGGAGGGGCGGGAGGCAGCATGAGTCTGGGATCTCCAAGAAGTAGAAATACTCGGGGACATGGCCTGATTATGGCTGGCTGGGTCAGCCATGCATCCCAGGTAAGGACACTGGGGACGTGAAGAAGCTCCCATTTCCATCAAAGTTGAAGGGTTATGGGAGTAGCCCTGAAAAGGATGCCTCTCATTGTCTAGGTGTCTCTGTCTCACTTCCCTAACTCAACCCTCCCCACATACCTGTGTCTTCCCACCTCCAATTGTATTCTATACCTGTGGTTTGTTCCAGAACTTTCTGGAGTTCAAACCCCATAGTCTGAACTCAATTTCTTCCATAGCTTAAGGCAAACATCTAACCCAGTGTTTTAAAAAGCCCAAATGATGCTTCCTGTCTTTTAGTAATACCCAGTGGTACCCACTTTCATGGAAAGATACCCCAGTTTGTCAATAACTGATGTGGTAAACCATGTGTGGTCCCTTTCCAACCTGATGCTGCAGGCTAATGTCTGCCTTTCTTGGAGTCAGTGGGTCTGAATTCTGCCTCACTGTGGGAATCACTGGGGAATTGTGAATGAACTGAACCTTGCTGTCTTGGCTCATCCCAAAAGAAATGAATTAAAACAAAGCCAGGGCCTCTCAAGACAGGGGCAGACTTTTTAAAAACTTTTTTAAAGTTATATGTTTGGGGGCAGGGAGGTGTTTCCTGCAGAGGCCTCAAGAGGGTGTTGGATCCTCTTGATCTGAAGTTACAGGCTGTTGTGAGCCACCCAACATGGGCACTGGGAAACAAACTTCAGTGCCTTGGAAGATAGAATTGCTCTAACTACTGGGACATCTCTCCAGTCCTGACTTTGGTATTTTTTTAAGATTTATTATTATGTATATATCGTTCCTCCTCATGTATCCCTGAAGGACAGAAGAGTGTACCAGATCTCATTACGGATGGTTGTGAGCCACCATGTGGGTGCTGGGAATTGAACTCAGGACCTCTGGAAAAGCAGCCAGTGCTCTTAACCTCTGAGTCATCTCTCCAGCCCAGTGACTTTGGTATTTTTAAGGCCTTGGGTGACTCTGCTGTACAGTCAATGCAGATAAGAATTGGCCCAAGTACAACAGGTGTCCTGGGCCTTTCTTTATCCCTGAGCCCATGTCATACATTTCTGCATCAGTGTTTAGGTAACTTGTTTCCATTACCTATCAGTCGTGTGGCCCTCTTAAACACCCATGTCCAGCTCCAACGCTACAACTTGTTTCC